TAATAGACAAGCCCATAGAACTCCTGACACTTTAGTTCGACTGCCTCGAAGACCACATAGTTACCATCGTTTAGAGACTCGATGTCGCTCGCGCTCGCAGTCTGGCGCCAAACTTCCACAGCATATATGGTGCTGCCACTTCCAAAACAAGCTTCGCTAAGGCCATAGCGCTGTTACCCCATCCGTACCCTAGGGCCGCATACATCTTGGGAGTAAACAGCGGAAACAAAAACGCAGCCAAGCTGCGTGGAAACTGCTCAGCTGCTAAAGCGCTTGAAGTGTGATCTGGATAAGAGTCCATCATATATGCTTGCAGTGGCATACCCGTAATCTGCATTCCAAACATGGTGATGCACATGGCGACATCTACCCATGCCCAATGGACTCTGTACTGAGCACACCATCCATATGCAATAAAACCAGCGGGCGCGATGAACGCTCCCATCAGCATAAGAGGAATTCTATGCTCTGGAACATGCTGGCCACCTGCGCGATGTTCCATTCTGCGGAACAGGTAGTCCATTAGAGGTGCTCCTAACTGTGATCCGATGAGTTCCCCGAGGGCACAAGCGATATAGTGCAGACCACTAATCTCAATGGAATGGTGATAATGTTGACTCCAAAGCTCTCCAAAGCTGGTCAGAACGATGTAGAGTAGTCCATAACCTATAGCGGATATAACTGCTGAAACTTGAATGATTGGGTGGAACGCCAGAAGCCGTAAGGGACGACTCATAGCTTGGCCAAGAACTCTTTTCACAGAATGCCCTTCCTGTGTACGCTCGAGATATGTATAGTAAGGCTCGCCTGTTTCTTTGCGTAGTTTCTTCGCGCGTGCCTTTAGAATTGCTGGGGCATATGTTTCGCGGAATGTGGTGAAGGACAAGGCAGCCATAGCAAGCTGGAAGAGTGAGGTGGACCAGAACATCCAGCGCCAAGAAACCCGATCAGTCATAAAACCACCAATGATGGGACCTATTTGTACAATAAGTTCTATGTCGATCTTTTAGAAGGGGGGGGGACTTACCAACTGCTGCACCCAGCAAGGGAATAACCATATACCATCCAAGAGATTTTCCACGTTGATCTGGGCGCCAAATATCACCCAGAACGCCGGCCCCAAGAGCATAGACGGCGCTTGCTCCAAATCCAGCTAGGAATCGAGCACCAATGAGAAGCTCTTTGGAGTTTGTGAAGCCGCATGCGACGTTCCAGACAAGAAACCAAACGTTCGACACATGGAGAATGGTCTTGCGGCCATAGACTTCAGACAAGGGCCCGATAACAAGAGGACCAAAAGCAGTCGCAAGTAAATAGATACTAAGAGACATGACCGATTGCGTTGCAGTCATGTCCAAGTCTTTGGCGATGATCGGAAGTGCAGGGGCCATGACAGTTGAGACGAGGATGCGGTTGAAACCCGTTACTGAGAGAACGTTCGTCACGGCCCATTTACGTCGTTCGGGCCAGTTCTTAGGGTTGTCGCTGTCCAGATCATTGAAAGCAACGAGATAGGGATCTGGGTAAGTGCCAGTTATTAAAGCCAGCTCAGTCCCGGCTGGGACATCATTGGGGTTCTCTTTGATATCAGTAGCCATCTTGCAATTGAGTTGGTTGAAAGAATGATACAAGATGAAGTGATTCAATTGAAGTCATGGACGCAACCCTTTATACCCCGCATCACAACAGGCAGCAAGCTGTCAGATTCGGTGGCCGAATGCTCCGGTAGTGCAAGGGATGGCGGAGGTAGTGCGGAGATATCGGTCGCGATGGTCGTTGGTTATCAGATCTTGCTTATCAGATCGGCAAACTGGTAACGTTGCATGAGTCACTCGCTAAGCGACCGAGTACGAGACAAGACCTTGAAAGAACTTTTGTAACTGTTGGGATATCGTATTACTCCGTTTGTTGGGGGGAATTATCGCATGTTCTTTAATAGAGCTCAAAGGCACGGTTTATCTAGCAGAACATGTACAAGCCTTGTAGCTGGAAGGGTGATCATACTTTGTTCTAACAAAAATGGCCAGATCAGAGTACTGTTGAAGCACGACGATCTACAGTTATTGAGTATCGGTATATAGCCTGGCCGACATGCTCGGAGTTCTCCGCCACAACTTGCGTCTCCCAAAGATTCACAATTGAGCCACGGCTAAATAGGCGAATTTGGTTCATGAATTTAATCTGGCTCATTCATTGGAATATCATTGCTATGGTATTATTTGGATGCTTCAAGCTCCTTCTTCTCACTCTCTCCCAGAAGACCAAGTGCCTCTCGCCGAGTAGGCGCCGATGCTTCAAAGTAAGGCTTCTCAGCCAGAGAGGTCACTCGCGTTCCATGTCGGGGCTCTCTACCACTGTAGTCCCAGCTAGCATTGTGGATGGTGATGCTATGAATTGTCAGTATTAGAAGACTCTACAAGTTTGGATGTTACATACCGGTTGTCCCACAGAGCTGAGGTTTTAGGAGTCCACTTGAATCGCACCTGGATATCGACGTTTTGCTCATAGACATCGTACAGGTAGTTGAGAATAACGTCGCTCTCCGCCTTGTCGAGGCCGACAATTCTATCGGTCATGGCGCGGTTCACCCAAAGAGCCTTCCAGCCAGTGGCGGGATGAACGCGAACGATAGGATGGATGCGCTCAACCCACTTGGGACCTGCTTCAGGGTGCTCGCGGTCTAGGTAGGGATGAGCGGATCGGTACACGGCCGATCGACCGTCGATGATCTTGCGGAACTCTGGCGACAGCTTCTCGTACGCGGCATAGCCAGAGGCCCACAGCGTATCACCCCCTACCGAGGGAATAGTATCGTTGTGAAGGTGAGTAATACCTGCCGGTTGCTTCTCATGCACCAGGTCTGTGTGCCATCGAGATGCTCCTCCTGGTTGACGGAAGCTAGCTGGGCGCTCTGTGGCCATCAGATCGGGCCAGAGAACGCTCACGCCGGGGACACCGGGAACTTGTGGGACTTGAGGCTATTGAAGGTCAGTTGATTTCTGTCAAGGTGCAATTGGAATGTGTTGGCTTACATGAACCTCGACTTCTCCATACCACTCACCAAGCTCCTTCTGCTGCTGTGGAGAAAGGTCTTGATCTCTGAAAAACACAACACTTCGCTCAGCGATCAAAAGAGCAAGCTCATCACGTTGCTGGTTGGTAAGATCCTTCAGCTGCAGACCCTCAATCTCAGTTCCGATGTAAGCAGTCAAGTCAGTAACCTTTGTCGCTGCGGACAAGAGGTTCTTCTTAGACTTGTCGGCTCGAGCGCCGGCATCGACATGATCACGAGGCTGGTCTCGGATCTTGTACACATCGTCAAGGTACAAGGGACGTGATGGGCGATAAGGGTAACCCTTGGAGAGGTCTACCCCAGACTTCTCAAGACGCTCCTTGGCTGCGTCGGGAATCTTGAGGGTGTCCTTGATAGGCTCGGCAACATCCTTGATGCTGGAGTCGATAGGAGCTGGGACCATGATGTGCTAATTGAGGCTTGTGTTTTGATATAATTGATTTGCTGTGATTATCTTGTCAATTAGAAGTAGAACATAGCATCTAGATATACCGTCATGGTCCCCTCACTATTGTTACCCCAATACCTCGTGTTGGTCACGCCATGATAGCACGTAATGACCAACACCTATTCAGCTGGATCTAATTGGCCAGCGTTCGAGATGCGATATGCAAAACTCATTGCAACATGTTGGGGTCAGCCAATCCGTTTCTTGGTAAATCGCGTCATTGAATGATCTTGGCTTGAATAGGAAATACTAGCATACTCCGCCGTTGGCTGAGGGTGCCGTGTTCTCGAGGATTTGTAAGACGGAGTCTCTAATGGGACGCAATAACGTAGATAACGACCCCTCAATTCGAGGTGATGTCGATGAATCAGCGACTCAATCCGCTTTTACTTGCTTATGGTAACTTTCCGTAGACTGAGGAGCCATTTGGAGATGAAATCTTACGATGCTTGCCCCTCTCTTGAGCTGATGTATGTTCGAAGGATTATAGCGTATGCTCGTGCTATGTGGCGTAATTGAATAATTTCTCATGCTGATTTAAGCCAATTTATTCTAGATTTATAGACACGTCTCTCTCAACTGATGAAGACTATTAGTAGGTTCGCTCAAGCAAAAACCTGTAGATGATACACCAACTTCGCTTGATAGCCGTTATTCTTTCCTAACAATTTTGATGACGCGACAGCGCATGACCACATGAGAAAACATATCCGAATACTAATCAATCAACAGAGAACCCCCTGTTATGAACTTGCCGCGGAGGAAACCCATCGTGGTTATCTAGATAGGAACTCTCTGCTGCACGACGAGCCCATAGTTTATAACGATTATACTAAGCTAATTGCATCACATATTCATTCTTGATGCCAATATTATCTAGGTATGTCCTCATGAATAGTGGCATCGGAGGTCGAGAGAACTAAAATGCCGAGAGTAGACCCAGACTATTTGATTGACATGTGGTTAGTTACAACTTGAATCTGCAAATTGAGACCCTGATAGGTTTCGAGTTCATTGCATAAAGAGTATGTCGTTAAGCTTGTGTATGGCATGTGGTATTTGACCAATAACCACCAAAAATGTTAGAACCCAACGACAGCTCTATGAGTGAGACATCGAAAAAGATTGACTAGCTAGAAACTGGTGCCACATTGGCGAACGGTCTGGAAACCTCGGAGTCTCGATGAGAAGCTTTCAATCAAATCCACTTAAACTACCTAGTGACTGGAAATGCAAGTCAAAGGTTGTAAAACATAAAAGGCTTTTCTGCTACCGAGAGCCGTCGCCGCGATGGGAACTAATTCTTGTAGACAAACATACTATTCTTATCCGCCAAGGCCATAGTATGATCAAGTATGAGATATGACATGAGATCATTACAATATATATAGTTACCTTATTCAATATCTCAAAGAGATATATCAAGGCCACACATCTAAAAAAACAAAAACAGAAGAAAATATATAATAAAATTAAAAAAGCCCCCGGCCAGACTCACTGGCAATCTTCTGGTTAGAAGCCAGACGCGTTAGCCATTACGCCACGGGGGCAACGCCTAATATTTTATGGACATGTCACATGATTGTTATATGTCGTTATATCGAAACATTAGCAAAGGTCGTACAAAACAGGAACTGCCATAAGTCGGTATGCATGTCTGTTAAAATGCCACGATAAGATTCACATAGGTGAGCCACCAAGACATAATCTAGAGACATGGAAGCAGACAGAAAAGTCTTTGCATTAAATTCGTAATCTATATAAGAATAACAGGCTTACAACTTAGCACGAGGAACACCAGCAAGCTCCTGGCTATCACTACTTCGCCAAGCACCGGTAGACTTGGCCTTGGTCTCCTTCCATTGCCACTTAGGCTCAGATTGTCTCTCATCAGCCAAGAGCTTCTCGACAAACCTGCCAAAGATAGGCAGCATCTTGAAACCGTGGCCGCTGTCACCGCTGAGAACGGCCAATGAACCGTTGCTTCCGGGAACATAGTCGATAATGAAGTCGGAATCATCGGTATCGGCGAACCAGCAAAGATGTTGGTCGATCAGAGGACGGTCGGCGAGCTGAGGGAAAACTTCCTTGAGGAGTTGACGGATGTGAGTCTCGTCCTCAAGAGGCATGAATTGCGAGTCGGCGAGTTCGGGGAAAGGAACGGATAGACCGTCCTTGGAGTAAGAGTAGTTTGTGAAAGCACCGCCCATGTGGCAGAACTTGAGCTTCTTGGTCTTTTGATCGGGCTCAAAGAAGAAGGCCAGATCGCGCACATTGGTAACGGGAATGCCCTTGAGCTCGGCGGCCTCGGCGTCGGTAAGCTGGATATGGGCGACACCCCAGGCACGGCCGGTCATCTGCTTGCCAATACGGGGGAGTAGGTTTGCGGCATCAGCACCTAGTGCGACAATGGTCTTATCGGCAGAGTGAATGCTACCTCCTCGTGTCTTGGCTCCAACGCACTTTGTACCCTCCCGGCTAGAGGCATACAACAGCGACTCAACCTCACCATCCTTCTTTCCGAGGTGGAACTTGACACCAAGCTTCACGCACTGCTCATACACGGCCCTCAAAGCATTGGCAGAGTGACCGTATCCGGCAAGCTTGTTGTGGTAGCCGGAGAAGCCATTGAGGGGTCCTGAGAACTTGGGGACGAGCTTCTTGATATCTTGGCTGTTGTTTACGCGTGTTGTTAGGCCATTGAAGGCAGGGTTCTTCTGAAGCGAGTCGAAGTAGCTCTCGACTGCGCCCTTGGTGTTCTGGGCGGCCTTGCCGGATGTGACGTTGAGGAAACCAGTTTCGTGGTAGTGGGGAGTGTAGAGAGGGTCTGATTGCCACTTTCGGATGGCTTCCTGTTACAATTGGTTAAAACAAGTCGCGTAATGGCAAATAAGAGGGGGATTGGCTTACGAGAGCGAGAGCAGTGTAGAAAGCATCAGCGTACTCGGCGCGGATGACCTTGTTGAGATCGTAGGCGGCGGAGAAGCGACTGGGTACATCGACATCCTTCTCGAGGACTGTGACGTTCTTGTAACCCTTCTGAGCGAGCTCAAAAGCGGTAGCCAGGCCAAAGCAGCCGGCACCGAGAATGAGGATTGATTGATTTCTGCTGTCTGTCGACATTGTGCTGTGTGGTGTTTGTGTCGTGCTCGTCTGTCAATTGACCCGCTGTTGACCAATGCTTGACAAGGCTAGAAATGCTGGAGAAAGAATAAGAAAAAGATGAAGAGAGGAAGGAAAGAAGAAAAAAGGCGACTCCAACTCAGAAATAGAAATACTCCAAAAGCTTCGATTGTTCTGGAGGTTAGTATAGCCACCATCGGGTGGACATCCGATATCGCCCATCTAGACTACATCATCGAAACTTGAGTGTCTCTGGTTGGATAAGATAAAAGATTCGAGTTTTCCCCTCACGAGGACCACAAAAGTTGGCTAGCGTAGGCGCAGTTTTGGACATCTCACTCCGCCACCAGAGACAAATCACCTCCACCTTTTGTTCACATTCCCCGCTTCGTCGGCCTCTACCCCGGATTCTGGCATGATCAGGTGGTCTTCGCTTCGAGAAGTATCACAGGATCACAATCGAGCCTGGTCTTTTTTCGTTACAGAGCTTCGACGCGAGCAGGGGTGGGCCTTGCTATCTAATTGTCTAACCTCTGTTATTGCTGGTTTGGAGAAAGTAACGGCAACGTCCGGAGGCTGAAAACGGGCGAGCCACGCGGATGGCAGGCGGGGCGGCCAACACTTGAGACGGGCATATTGATCATACTGCCAAATCTTTATGAAGATTTGGTCTAGATTATCAAGAAAAACTCGAATGAAATCTTGAAAAACGTTATTAAATTAGAAAATATTTGTTTCTGTTCTTGTACTCCACCAAAAGAGGTAATTGAACCTAATCATATATCTCAGGTTGTTTTTGAACTGCATGACAGGCTCGTCTGGCTGACAGTAACTAAGATCAATCCGGAACAATAAACATTCTAGAACTAAACATTCGCTCTGAATAGCTTGACAAGTTACAGCATCGCTATTATAACTCTCATCCTGTGCCTGGAGCCGCTCGGGTGAGGCCCGGAGGAAATATTACAGTACCGAGATGTGCAGATATCCAGGACTACAGGGTTGCTGAGCGGCTCGATTGGATTTGGAGAACTGAAGATGCCAAATATAGCCGTGCATGCCTGTTGATCCTCACCCTACCAACCCACCTATGAGGTGCAATATCCTTCTTCTCCGTCAATTGTCTCAGCTCCCGGCTCATGCCTCGACTGTTCACATCTCCGCATTCAGTCTTGAGCCTCGATCCCAAAACGTGGGGTTTGCCACAGGGTCTAGCCTTTGCCCATCTGCCCACCCTCGTCGGTTTCGTTGCCGGTGATCGGACTAATGCCGGCCTCGAAAACCGTAAATGCCGTCGACGGATGCCATCCCGAAGACTCCAACAGCTCGGCCCCACACACATGTGACCTCTTTATCATTGATCGGATCGTATTCCTATGTCCTTATCTGACTGTTCTTTTTGATTTTGCTTTTTCCGGGTCACTTTGCAAGCATCTAGAATCCATGCATCGCTGGGATGTCGTGATGCGAGTTATCGGAGTCGACCGCATCAGACCATATGCTGACTTCAGATGGTGACACTACTCATTCATGGCTCGTGACAACTCCGTATCTCAGTAAGCCCAGCGAGGCCCCAAGCAAAATGGCTAGCGGAGGCGCGAGACCGAAATATCTTCCTCCGACAAACGCGGTTGCAGTAACAACAACCCACCAAGGGTCATCAGCCAAACTCTTGCCTGACTGAAAGCCCTCATCGATGAACCCAACTTGCCAGATCCGATAGACTGCTGTGTATATCAATCCGACAGCACCAGCATTGACGCCTCTCACTCCAGATTTGACCCATCGTCGACTTCGCAATACACCCCAGACGCCCATTGTTCCATGAACAAGGACCATGCCAGGAACAAAGATGCCGCAAAAGGCGATCAGTGCACCTGCAATTGCAGGATAGCCGCCATTGATAGCTGTCAAACCGCCTAGAAAGACGGCAAAGTTGAAGTTTGGTCCTGGGAAAGCTTGCACAATAGCAAGGCCGATTAGAAAGTCCCGCGGAGTGACCCATCCTTCTGCCACTACATATTCCCTCAAAAGAGGAATCACGACAGGACCTCCTCCAAAGATGATTGTACCAGCGAGATACAAATTCGCAAAGAGCTTGTATAATAGAGGCGCATCAGGCAATGTTCCGCGTATCACAAGAACAGCAATAAAAGTAAGTAGAAATGTAGCGATGATAATAGTTCCAGACTTCCACGAAAAGTTGAGGCGGTATTCCTGCGGGATGATGCGTGGTTCCGACTCTCGTTCATTATAATCATCTTGAGTGTGGAGGGGTATGTTTGGAGTATTGTCCTCTCTGGCGGGACGATTTTCGGCGCTCTGGATATTCTCGACTTCTGTTGGCTGCCTTCTTCTGACTTTCGAGAACACATTCTTCAAGGCTCTGGCTGGACGATGCAACCAACGATAATCGTAGACAATGGTAGCGCAGCCGGTGGCGACGATGAGAATTGGAAAGTACCACAACGCATTGTACAGAATTCCAGCTGCAGCAGTTATCGAGAGAAGAAGCCTCGTGGGTTGGTCCGTGATCGCCTTTTCCGAGAGCTCGACTGCCGCGAGAGCAATGATTCCAACAGTGGCAGCGTTAAGACCAGAGAGGAGCGCATACACTGCACGCGGCAGTGTGTCTCCAATGTTTGATACGCCGACTGATAGGCCAAACATGCCAAGGAAGCCGGGCAGGCTATCCAACAGGACAGTGCTTAGCTGTGGTCAAGTCACTGACAGATGTGTACCTAGACTTACCTCCAGATAAAAAAGGCCAAGATAGCTTCGAGCAATCCTCCATGAATCAGGTTGATGCAATACAGCATCTTGGTGCTGGCAGGGCCTGATAAAGCTTGAGAAACGCTGAACAGTTCTTGGAACTAAATTGGTTGTTAGGCTCAACGACACACTCCAATGAAGTGCGATTGTCATCTCAACATACGATTTGCTCATCAATCCAAGCAAGCTTGGTTACGAACTTGTCATGAAACTTCGATCGTTAGTCGGCCATCTCAAACAAGGAGGAGTGCTATTCGCAGACAATTTTAAAATGAACCGGAGGCCCACCAAAAGCCGTAAGGCCAAGATGCCAATTGACTCGGAGAGTCTGCAAGCCGCGATCTGCGGCTCTTCGTACGGCATTTTCCCAGCCGCCGACTGCCATAGTGGAGGTGTAGAAGCTGTCGCCCGAACGTGAAGCGGATGGAGAAGGTAAATTCGCTCAGCAAGATTGCATTTAAGCTTCAATTTTAAGTCCTGGTGAGGGAGGCGTGGCTTGTGAGTCACGTCATCGGCTCTAAACCTCTTTGAAGTCTTGGCCAACGCCAGACTAGGAGTATCAATTGTAGCTTCACGCACTGGCAAACGATAAGACCTTGGCTTCACGTGTAGCCTACCACGATAACTATGAGGCATGTTTGATCTCGCTAGCTAA